TTCTTAATTATTTCGCATATCTGACCTTATTTTTTGCCCACTCTTATCATTTTTTCTTACTCTCTTTCTCTTAAGCACATATTGTGTTGCACTAGAGGCCTTAATTCACTACTTTTGTGCTTAAAAACTATGTTATCATGTTAGATTGGAAGTCATACAACTATAAAGCATGTGATCATCAAAGATGCAAAATCCAAACCTCAGTTTCTTCTCTCTTTTTGCTTAAATATAGTACTTATTTTCTTCTCTAATTTTTATTTCGTTCCCTAACTCTTAGGTACACATTTCTGAAAAAGAGACGTTTAGCTTATTTTATCCGTGGATTCCCTCCACTGGTTCAACAATCGGTTTGTTCCCAAAAACATTGCTCTCTATTCCATGAATAAACAAAAGGGACTGCCTACAAAGTGACCATTTATCTTTTTTACACGGAGATCACGATTATTCTCACTCATTAGATGTCAAATTAGATAGTTTGGGGTGTCACGAAATCCGAAAATTTTGTTTGTAGAACTGTCTATTCAATGATACTTACAACTACCTATTTTAAAATTTAAGAGATAAGAATGATTGTGACCTCTATGTACAAAAAAATAAATGATCTATTTATAGACAATCCTTAAACAAAAGGAAAACACTGCAAAACGCATATAGGTAAAGTTCTATAGTACTTCACCTACGGCTTTATTACTGTCCAAAGTTCATCACACAGCTTCAGATATCTAATAGTATTTGAATTTAAATATTTTTTTTACAAATCATATTGATCTGAAATTTTGTTAGTGTGTGCGGCTTAGTGAGGTGCACCTATATAAAATATAAAACAAATAATTTGGATGATAAAAATGACCTAAAATACCCCTATAAATTTTGAAGGTATTTTTGTTATTTTATTTTATAAATATTATTTTTAATATTTTATTTTGGTGCGACTTGATCATATATACACATGCCCCAAATTTTAGATAAATCTGATTTGTAATATAATTATTAAAATTAAAATACGACCAGATAACAATGACTGTGTGATGAACTTTGGACAGTGATGAGGTATGGTGAAGTATTGTAGAACTTCACCTATAAACGCTTTGTAGTGTTTTGCTAAACAAAATAGTATAAGACCAAGAGCAAATTAGTTGATCTAGAACTAGAAACCAAACTAGGTTATTTAGTAAAAAAAAGATCCAAAGAATTGGATAGAACTAGATTCCAACTAGCAAGCTTTCTATGCTTCCCCTACCGCATATAAGTTCTATCCTCCCTCTTATCCAACAGTTCATTCTGATTGGAGGGCTAAGACTAATCACAATGTCACGTCTCTACACTATTTTAGTTTTTAATTTTTTCTATAAACTATTTTGACACCAAATTTTGGATGTCCATTCCTATATTAAACTCGCACTAGCGAAAAATATATATAAAAAAAAAATTAATAAAATAAAATGACCAAAATACCCCTGAAAGTTTCAACAGGTATTTTGGTTACTATATTTTATCAAAAAATTATTTTTAATATTTTTTATAGGTGCACCCCAATGAGAAGATGACACGTACCAAATTTCATACTCATACAATTTTTATAAAAAATACTTTGAGACGTCGGATCTAAGATCAAACGGTAAGTGACTTTCTTGATCAAAATTGAACTGTTGGATGGTAGGGAAAGGATGAAACTTCTATGCTGTAAGGGAAGCATAGAAACCTCTCCCATCTAATTTAATGAACTAGTTAGTTCATCCAGTTCATTATGAACAACCCAACAAAATTGGCATATTCACTCAATCTTTCAAGCAATTTCATATCACCTTAATTTAAATCTCTTTGAAGCTACATCCCATATTTCCCCATAAGGGACCATAACTAAATAAATTGCAAGGTACAACTCATCAAAGAAAGTATTGAAACGTCATAATGAACAACCCAACAAAATTGGCATATTCACTCAATCTTTCAAGCAATTTCATATCACCCTAATTTAAATCTCTTTGAAGCTACATCCCATATTTCCCCATAAGGGACCACAACTAAATAAATTGCAAGGTACAACTCATCAAAGAAAGTATCGAAACGGTTTTGAAATACCTATTATTATATGGGAAAATTTCGTATAGAACCTTAATTCCTTGTATTATTTCATGGGAGACTTTCTTTCCGTTTTTTTTTCAAGCGAAAGCCCTTAAAGATTTCACCATACCCTTTCATATCTCTCTTTTATTGACTTTTGATCATAAAAATTAGTCCCAACAAATCTTATTATATTATTTCAAACTTATTAATTTTTTTAATGAGTGGAAAGGGAAAAAAATGATTAAAAAAGTTTTTAAGATAAAATGATATAAAAAGATTTAGAGCTAATTTTTAGAGTTAAGTAAAGAGAGATAAGAGATGAGAGGGTACGAAGAAATTCTTACATAATTTCTTACACCATTTTAAAGAAAAACCCATAGGGTTTACCATGAAATAATTAGATGTATTAGAATTATATACGAAATTTTTCCTTCTTATCTAAATATTTTGGAAAGGCTTTTAAGGTATCATTTGGATCCTTCTCCATGACCACAAGGTAAAATTGATTGTTCACTCATTCTAGTCTCATAATTATTCTAGTCTCATAATTTGTAGCCTGCTCTATCGACTTTATCCCCTGTATGTTTACTTCTCATGGAGACACTTTACAAGCCATTATTCTGAAAAAGCAAGAGGTTTAGGTAACTTCCTAAATTTTTTCCTTTGTTGTAATAATTTGGATGGGAATAGAGATTAGGGTAAAAAGCTGTAATTTTAGGTAAAAATCATTTTCATTTGTTTATGATTTGAGCATTAATTAATGAAGAGCATTTCAATTTATTATGTTATGAATTCGAGTTTTATAAGTGAATTGAGTTTAGGGTCCCCCCCTGTAGGTCAGGGGGTTTTCAAAGAGAGAATATGAAGTTTGTCGTGAAGGACGCGTTGCACATCAACTTTTTGAGAAATTTAGTGAAAAACCTAATGTTTCAATTAGAAGCAACATGGTTTTGGGTACATTCGAGTGGGTGACTAGAATTATAGCTAATTTCTATATGGCCAGTACATTGCAGACCAATTCTCTTTGAAGAATTTAATGGAAGAAACTTCGAATTAGAACCAGCATGGTTATTGGATTTCCTTTTTCTCTTGTAATCATTTAGATGGGCATATAGTTTAGGTAAGAAATGTTACTTCAGGTAAAAAGTTTTTTCATTTATTTATTATTTAGAGGATTAATTAGTGATGAACGTTTAATTATATTCTAAATTCGGTTTTTAGGAATTGGTGGAGTTTAGGATTAGCCCTGTAGTTTTGAGGGTTTTCAAAGAAACCAAATCCTAATAGGTTTCTTGCGGAGGGTTGTTGTACACCAACTGTTTGATAAATTTAGTGAGACGAACTTTTCAACTAGGGCAAGTGTGATTAATTGTTATGTTTAAGCTGGTGATTAGAATTAGAACTAATTTCATATAGGGTAGCGCATTGTAAACCAATTATTTGATGAATTTAATGAGAGAAACCTTGGAATCCAGTATGGGTATTAGGTATATCGAAACCTACATGGTTATTAGGTATATGTGAGTTGAAGATTAGAATTACGACTATATTTTATATGTATTACTTAGAGTAGATGTTGTGCTAGCTTCCTCCAAAATGTTTTTGGCCTCACTGAGTTCATCAACACATATCATCTTCCAACAAGTTTTACACATGCTATGGTTTAATAAGCAGAACTATTAGGTAATTGTTTTATATATATATAAGAGAATGATTTCATGCAACGGCTGTAATTATAGAAAGTAATTTTTTAACTTAATTAACATAAACCATCCATTTATTAAGATGCTTAGATCAAAGTTTTAAAAGGATTTCTTTTCTTTTCAATATTGTTCATCTAATGATAACAAAACTATCTAAGCATTTTGACGTTATCAATGTTTTGTCGAACATGGGATGATTGTTTTTCTTCCCAACTAGTCCATCAAGCAAATATCTTATGGGATTTGTCATATCACAACACAAGTTTTTTTGTAAGGGCTTTGTCGGTGCTTAATTGTGATTGTTACCATAAGTTCAGAGAATGGCTGTTATTTTGCAAGAAGCTCTGGAATTGTGACTGTTACTTTGCAAGGGCAAGGAGCTTGTGCAGAGAATTCAAAAAGATCAATCACATACTAAAAGACGAGGAAGACCGACCTTGAATAAGTAAAACCTGAAAAGTTGAAACTGCTTTTGTACTCTATGAAAATCATCTCGTCAAGAACTGAAGGATTTTGGTAGAACTTAATCAAGATTTTTGTACTTTGCTCTGCATTTTCTGTTTTTTTACTTTGTTGGTTGTACAATGTGCTCTCATTAGCACCATTTTTGTAAAGTGTTGTCTCAAGCACCATTTTTTTTACATGTGGCCTTTTCCTATGAGTACCTTGTATAGAATGCTACCTTGTCTTTTACTAGATCATGAGCTCGATACTTCTTTCTCAGCCCATACAAGTTTCTTTTTACTTCATTTTCTTTGCAACATTAATGGCAATCACCTGATTCACATGATCCATGTAATGAATTGATTACACCTAAGAACATGACATCAATGAAGCCACACTATGCTGCTGAAATTATTTCCTCTACCAATTGATTACACTTGTTCTAGACTGGTTTATCATCAAAGACTACTTGATGTTGCCTTTTGTGGTGGTCAAAGGTAATATTCTTGAGGCTTGGGAAGTGACTCCAATGATTTTCGAGAAGAATTTTTTGAAGCAAATTATTCATGTACTATGGAGTAAAATTTTTTAGTACAAGACCAACAAATTGATCACAATTTTGTGAACTTTGCTGTTCTTTGTAACAACAACATATAAGTCACTGTCAAGTTATTATTTTGAGATATATTCATCTTAAAATTGTGTAAAAGTGATATCCATATTTGCATGACACTATAATGCATTGATTAAGATCACTACACCAAGATGTTGCTATTGAAAATCATGAAAGAATTCAAACTCAGTAGCATTTTCTCTTGTAACTGCAGTTATTCTAGCAGCAGTAAATCAAGCATCATTTGATCTCATTTTGAGTCGAACCTTGATGCTAAATTTGTGTGAAATACTCAATACATCTTAAGAACCATGAACACAACTCTCATGATCAGAATAAAGTAATTCACAATTAGAATTTAGGATAAAAAAATGGCCAAAATAGTGCATCACTAGGTTGCATTATGCTGATTCTTGCAGCAACGTCTTGACATCAAAAATCCGTGTAAGGGCCTTGTCCATCAAGCACTACTCATTAACAACCAGAGCACTATTCATTGACAACCAGAAGACTAGTCAAGCACTACGAATTAACAAAATCTCCCTCTCTCTCTCTC